TATCTTCAGAGTCCAAGGTAAGCTGGTTTTTCTACTATGCCACAGTCCTCCATAAAAGTAAATATTCTATTTGAATGCCAATGATTGGAATTTTACATGTAAGTTGTTTTTATCTGTTATTAAATAATATCCCCAAAGGACCCTTCCTTGACAAACACCCAGTTAGGCCAGTTCAAGTAATTACATAATAACCCAACTTTGTTATCTTAGTTAAATATCTATTCATCCCCACTTGCTCTCTAAGTTAGACTGACCTCCCTTATAAATTAGACCAAATTAGTGAGGTGTGATTATATTTCCAAAGGCATGAAATGATAGGGCTTCTGTATAAACTAAACTGTCGGAAACTTCAGCAGCTACTCACATCACGTAGGATGTAACTGCACAAAACCTGGCTCTCGAGGCTCTTGAGATCCTGCCTCAATCTCTCTTTCTGGCCTCATTTCACACTAGCCACATCGATGACCTCTACTCTAACCAGACTAGTCTTCCTATCTCCAGAAAATGCCTCCTGCATTCCTGTCTCCAAATCTTTGCCCTCACCTGGAGTCGGAGCCTATTTAAATCCCATCTATCCTTTGAGGCCCACCTTAAATACTAATTCTTCCACTGAATATTCCCTGACCACCCCAGCCCACAGTGATCTTGCAGATCCTATGGCTAATAACAATAAATGACAACAATAATAACTGCTACATTCACATAGCCCTTGAAAGCTTCATATTTGCCTCACAACTTGTTAAGCAGGTAGCTGGCATTTACATAGCCCTTGAAGGTTTGCATAATGCTTTGCATACATTATGCCAGCTGAGCCTCACAATATCCCCCTGAGGTAGGTGCTACAGATATTATTATCCCTATTTTACAAATGAGGAAACTGAGGCTAAGAAAGATTGAGTAACTTGTCCAAGGTCTCACAGTTATAAATTCAATTCAACGAACACTGATTGAGTACCCACTATGTGCCAGGACTACACTAGGCATTATTCAGTTTCAGAGGCAAGATTAGAACTCAGAGTTTCTTGATTTAGTAAATCCATGAATCATCCCCAAGTATTTATAAAGTGTTTTCTTGCCGGGGATTGTGCTGGGCACTAGGGAAAGGAGACAAAAGTGACACATTCCCTGCCCTCAAGGAACTTACATTCTTTTGGAGAAAATAATATAAACACATATAAACAAGTATGTGCAGAGCAATTGACGGGGCTGTCAAAAAAAACCACCTCTATTCATACACTATTACTTTTAAGCTGCATTATTAACATTTTCTCCATCACTGAAATCTAGATGATTGGGGGGGGGGGGAAGCCACCAAAGTCCTGTTGTGTAGACTTTGCCAGTTTCTGAGATGTTAAGTGTTCACAATAAAAATTTAACAACTCAAGGCAGAACTGGCTCTATTATACCCCTGCATATAGGTTAATACAAACTACACACAAAGTAAAGGATGAGGGGAAAGAGGGAGGCAAGCATCAGGAGGGATCAGGGAAGGCTTCACATAGGAGGTGGCATCTGAACTAATTTTAAAGAAAGCTAGGGATTTGAAGAGGCAGTGATGAGGAGGTAGTGAATTCCAGGAATGCCAAGAATAGTGCCTACGCAAAAGCACGGGGTCAGGCAGCTGATTGACATGTATAAGGAAAGGCAACTAGGATAATTTGACTTAGAACATAGAATGCATTGATGTTGTTCGGTTGTTTTTCAGTCGTGTCCCACTCTTCATGACCCTATTTGAGGTTTTCTCGGCAAAGATACTGGAGTGATTCGCCATCTCCTTCCTCATCTCATTTTACAGATGAGGAAACTATGGCCAACAGGATGACTTGCCCAGGGTCACACAACTAGGAAGTGTCTGAGACCAGATTTGAACTCAGGAAGATGAGGAGTCTTCCTGACTCCAAGCCCAGCACTCTGTGCACTATAGCACTACCTAGCTGCTTTACAGGATGCATGAAGGGAGAGTAAGTGGAATAATGCTGTCGAGGAAGGTTGGAGTCAGAGCATAAAGGGATTTGAATGCCAGAGGAATCTATATTTTACCCTAGAGTCAATAGAAGCCACTGGAGTTTTTAGATGAGAGGATTAACATGCTCAGACTTAAGCTTAAGGCACATTGCTTTGGCAGTTTATGGAGGATAGATTGTAGTGAAGAGAGAATCCTGGCTAGAAGACCAATTAGGAAACAATTGCCATAGTACAGGCAAGAGATGCTGAAGTCCTGAACTAGGGGGGTATGGTGGCCCTGTAAGTTGAGAGAAAGGGATGGATACAAGAGATGCTGTGGCAGTAAAAAGGACAAAACTTGGCAATTGGTTTAGACATGAGAGGTGAAAAAGTGTGAAGGATTGAAGAAGACTAGGTTTCAAACCTGGGCAACCAGAAGGATGATATTGCTCTCTACAGAATTAAAAAAGCTAGAAAGAGGGGAAGGTTCAGAGGAAAATACAATAAGTATTGTTGATATGTTAGTAGACATTTTGAATTTGAGATCTGTGGAACAAATATTTGGAAAAGCCCAAAACGCTGTTGGTGATGAAAGACTCTAGGCTCAATATAAAGAACTAGGAGTTACTCGCCTGGATTGATAATTGAACCTTTGGAAGCTCATGAGATCATGAAGTCAGAGACATAGAGAGAGAAAAGAAGAGGGATCAGGATGGAGTCTTGAATTCCATCCATAGTTAGGGAATGGGAAACAGATGGTGAAGACTGACAGGACACTGGGCAATCATAAGAGGAGAGGAGAGAACATTGAAGATGGGTTGTCAAGAGCACCAAATGGCTGTGGAGAGCTCAAGAAGACCATATGAGGACAAGCAAGCCCATATGATTCAGCAATTAAGAGATCTCTGAGACTCCAAAATGGAATGAAAAGAAGAAAAATATGAAGCTGAACACCATGTAATTATAATGACCAAATTTGGCCTCAAAAAAGAGATGAGAAAACGTCTCTCCCTTCTTTCAAGAGCTTGGCAGCTATGGGTGTGGAAAACAGAATACACTGTTAGATTCTGTTGCATCGGTTTTGCTAATTTTTTTTCTTTCTGTTTATTCTTTGTTATAAAGGATGGCTCATTGGGTAGGTGAGGGGAGAGAAATATATTAGGAGATGAAGGTTATAGAAAAACAAAAAACATCAATAAATATTTTTTAAAGAAAGATCATTGGTAACTTTGGAGTGAGTAGCTTTAGTTTCATTATTTGTGAGTGAATGAATGAATGAATGAAAAAGTGTTTATTAAACACTTACAATGTACCAGGCTCTGTGCAAAGTGATGGGAATATAAATGCAGAAATACAGATAGTCTCTGAACTCAAGGAGTTTACATTCTAATAAGGGAAAATAACACATATAAGGGGGTGTTGGCCAGGGAGGAGCAGTTTGGCTTGAGAAGTCACTGAGATGATGAACGTAACCACAGGGAAATAGATTGGTGTGGCTTTTCTAGGAGCAGGAGTGCTGATTTGATAATTGTTGCAAAAGCTAGAGATCAGATTGCAAGAGTGAGAAGTAAATAAGAGGAGAGGAAGTAGAGGTGAGGAGGGTAAGCATTTTTTATTTTGGGATTTGTTTGTGAGATAATAGATATAAGATCAAGTTAAGGTTTTTTGAAGATGGGTGAGACTTACTTTTATTTGCACATGGCAGAGAAGAGGACAGTAGATAAGCAGAGATTAAAGATTAGAGAGTGAGAGAGGGGATAACTGTGGAAGCAATCTGCCAGAAGAGAACAGAGTATGGGGGAAGGATGGATCAAAACTGCAAGCAGAACTAGGCTTGGAAGAGATGAATGGTGAAGGTAATCTTGGGTTAGGGTTTGCAAGATATGAGCAGTGATAGGGAGAAGCAGCAAGAAATTAGAGAATAGCAATGTACAGCTGAATGGGCCGATGGGTCAATATTGGGAAGGGAGGAAAGTAAAGCCAGATGTGATGGGCTGAGAGAACATTGAGGGATGGACCTGGAGGTCACAGCATGGATGAAGAATAGGTTTGGGAGAAGTAAAGCCTAAGGAAGGACAGAATAACAAGAGATTGTGGTAGGAAAAAGGAATTTTGAAATTCTTGATCCTGGAAGGGGAACACTTGTGGGTGATGAAGAGATCAAGGGTGTGACCATTCTTGTACATAGTTATGGAGTAGGCTAAAGATAAATGTCAGGAGAGTTGAGGGACCATCATGAATGCTGATGTACCCCTTTCTATAAGGACAGAAGTTGGGGTGGAGAGGAAGACTGTGAGCAAGGTCCTAAGTTCCTTGAGAAAGGAAGGAGAACCAATTTGGTGGCCAGTCATAACTGCTACCAAGACATGGACAGGGTGTCACATGCCTCTATAGAATAAGATTCAAAGGAAGACTCCAAGTTCCAGATAATGACAATTCATATCTCCATAGAATTTTCAAAGTGTCTTCTCTCACAAGAACTATACGGATTTGTATCATTATCCCAGTTTGACAGAAGAAGAAATTGAGGTGCAGAGATATTAAATGACTTTCCCAGGGTCACATAGCCAGTAAAATTCAAAGTTTCTGGTGTCAGTTCTACTCTTTTGGCAGTAACCACACAGCACCTTATGACATCTTTTATACTTGCAGTCTTTTTTGCTATTTTATATGCATTTCCTGCCCCCACTACCACTAGACTGTAAGCTCTGTAGGAGCTAGCCAGGTCCAGGTCCCCTTTGCTAGTGTCTCCCGCAGTCCCTAGCACAGACCTAGACACGGAATGGACAGCAAACAGTCAAATCAATAAGCAGTTATTGTTCTGCTATCTAGCCTCGAGGGGGGGGGTTAGCCAGAAGGGGCAGTTGGGGCGGGTAAATAGATGAGGAAGTAGGTCTCATTTCCTACTCAAATTAAAGAGGGGAAAGGATGGAATCAGTACGGGCAAGAAATTCTCCCACCTCCCCCACTCACTGGCAAATTCCCAGCTGCCCATGCCCCGCCTGTGCTCCCCGGACAGTGAGAGGAGGTAGACACAGGATGCCCAGGAGACTCACCAGTCGGTGCCCTCAGCCAAATACCTGGGCTGAGGCGTCTGTAGTTGATGGCTGAAGTCAAAGCCTGGATGCAGCCGGTGAGGGTGAACGGACACACGTTCCTGAGTCCGCCTGTGGCATAGACGCACTTGATTTAGGGCAAAGCTGCACATGCTGGGACCCACCCCTACCAGTCTCTCCAGGAATCAACATCAGGGCTCCCAGTGCAGAGCCAGGTCCCTGCCCGTCCCTTCCGAGACCTCGTCTCTTCCAGAAAGCCTTACCAGAGGGCTCCCACCCGTCTTAGTCCGGGAAGCTCAAGGATTCTCCAGCTGATCCCCGTCCAGTACTTAGATATTTCTCATAGGTGTAATGTAGTGCACCTTCTACCTCTCCAATTTTGGATCATAGATTTAAAGCTGACCAGACACTCTCAGTGTATTGTTTGGTTGTGCTAAGCTGTTATTTTTTTCCCATTTCTTTTTTAATCTTTGTTACAAAGGAAGGTTCTCTGGGTAGGGGAGTAGGGAGGGATATATACATTCAGAAATGAATGTGATATGAAAACCAAAGGCACTAAATTAAAGAAACAAAAAGATTTAAAGCAAGAAGGGACTTCAGAGGGTATCTCATTCAATCCCCTCATTTTACAGATGCCTGGCACATAGTAGGTGTTTAATAAATGCTTGTTGGATGATAACAGATGAGGAACTGAAGCCCACAGAAGGTAAGTGACTTGTCCAAGGTCACACAAGTTGCAGGGCTGAGATCTGAACGCAAATTCCTTGATTTCAAATGCAACATTCTTTACACAGTACCCTGCAACCTCTGGTTCCTTTATCTTCTGTTCCTCCCCAATGCCAACCCTCCAATCTAGTCAGGTCCATTTCCCTCTCACTCTCTTCCAAGTATGGCACATATATTCCCATCTCCACATTTGTTTTTTCTCCACCAGTCCAAATCCCATTTATCCTTCAAAGTACCAGCTCCTCCAGGAAGTTTTCTCTGATTGCTCTCATTCTCTCTCTCTCTCTCTCTCTCTCTCTCTCTCTCTCTCTCTCTCTCTCTCTCTCTCTCTCTCTCTCTCTCTCTCTTCCTCTCTCTCTCTCTCTCTCTCTCTCCCCCCCCCCCCCCCGGTGTCAGAGATTTCACTACCCCATGAATCAGAGCTTTCTCTTATTTGGCAGCTCTAGCTATTAGGAAGTCATTTCATGTTTTGAGGCAACATCTCCCTCTGTAAACAACAAGGGTTGATGCAGTGAATGATCTGACAATACTCCCAGACCTGGCCAGCCAGTCCATCTGCTTGTAAGGAAGGAACAGCCTCCCAGGGGAGGATGGCATCAAGACTCAGGGAAGAGTGTCCCCACTCCCCAGAGCCCCTCAGCCTGCCCTTCTTCTCAGTCACTCACCTGGGGTGTGAGACCAGCCTGCGATGTTGGGCCTCAAGGAGCTGCTGCTGGAGGAGGTATTGCTGGTGCAGGGCCTGAGGTAGGAAGGAGGGACCTGTGACGTCCTGGAACGGGAGGGTAGGCAGCGGGGTCAGGGGCTGGTGGAGGGTGCCGCTGTGCTGGTGGGCCGGGGCCATGTGGGGACTGAGGCCCGGCTGGGACTGCACAGGATGCGCGATGGGGAAGTCCGTAGTGAGCTGCTGTGGCTGAGGGGGACCCAAGTGGAAGTGGCGGCAGGAGGTAGCGTGAGGATGCTGAGACCTTTGAAAAGGGGCACCTGCAGAAGCAAGGACAGGAAAAAGACTATTAGCACCAATACAGAGCACCTGGCCAACATCTTCCACTTAATCAGTTAGAAACTATCTTGTAAAAGCACAGCATTGATTTCAGGTGAAGAATCAACTGTTACAAGGTCGTGCTTTAATAAATAGATAACCAATCATAATTTGTATTTCATTTTTGTTGTTCAGCTGTTTTTCAGTCACATCCAACTCTTCATGACCCCACTTGGGGTTTTCTTGGAAAAGATATGGAGTGGTTTACTATCTCCTTCTCCAGCTCATTTTAGAGATGAGGAAACTGAGGCCAACAGGGTTAAGTGACTTGGACAGTGTTACACAGCTAGTATCTGAGGCTAGATTTGAACTCAGGTCTTCCTGACTCCAGACCCAGAGATTTATCAACTGTGCCACCTCGCTGCCATTTGTATTTCATTATTGGCATACAAATACAGTGGTTTCAAAGGTGCCTGAAAATAGTTTTCTCACCCTTGAGTAAGCTAATCCCCTCCAATGCAATGTTGTTGACCCTATTAATTTACTGAGTATGCCCTTCCCTCTAAGATATAAAAAAAGCACCTCAGCCTAGTCCCTTTCAGATAGCTAGCTAGATAGATTGGTAGACAGATAGATAGAGAGATAAATAGATAGATGGATAGATGGATAGATAGATAGACAGATAGATAGATTAATGGATAGAACATTTATTAAGTCTTATTTATTACTATGTGCCAGGCATTATGCTAAATCTCAGGTATACAAATACAAGTGAAAAAGACAGTCCCTGCCCCCAAAGAGCTTACATTCTAATGGGGAAAGTCAACACATACAGGGGAGCTAAAAGGGGATAGAGGGGATAGTAGGGTTAAACGGCAGCATGGTTTGGATAGAAATGGTGGCCAACAAATGACATGGAGGCCTGGTGCCAAGCAAGATAAAGCAAAAGATCACCCAGCATCCTAAAAGGAAAATGGAAGTGTGTAGGAAGGACCAAAGGATGGAGGACAGATCAAAGGCAAAGAGTTTGAAGGAGGAGAATAAGCTCTGAAGGAATGGAGGAAGGCTTTCCGCTGCCTTACAGTCTAATATCCAGACTCTTTAGACTGGCATTAAAGACTTCTACAGTCTGATTCCAACCTACCTTCCCAGCCTCCTCCCCGGCATATGCTGCCCACTTGGCCAATGACATTGTAGTCATTGTGTACTGAAAACATCCTTGTTCATGTCTGCCTCTTTGGCTACTATTTCCCCTGCCTGATATATCTTCCTCTATATTTTGTTTATCCCTCAAGATCAACCAAGTCTTCCCTCTTCTGCGAAACTTCTTCTGATTGTTCTGCCCATAATGTCCTCCTCCTCATCTGGCCATTATCTGTGCTAGGAGCCATGACCAGAGTAGGAGACCAAGACTTTGCCCCATGAACCCAAATATGGAGGCCACTGACGACATTTATACTTTGGGAAGTATAAACAAATAGGCTTAGCAGCTAGTTAGCAAGAATAAATATGCAGTGAGCTATCTCTCCACAGCAGCCACAGCAAGTGAGCTCCACTCCAGCTCAGTGCTTCACTACGCCCAGCACAATCTTCATGATGGCCATGAGGCTATGTCTATCACCCTTCCTCTCCCCACAGGGTAGTGCACCAAAGTCTCTTCCGTCATAAAACCTTGTTACAAGGGTGTGCTGATAAATGTTTAACAAGTGGCTCTCTGAAAAAATGAAGTATTCAAGACACTTTTAAGTTTCACCTTCATTATTAACATTGTCTCCATCACTTTCCTAAGTCTAATCAACAAAATAATAAACCAAGCCCTGATTTATATCATTTGCTGATTTCCAAGTTATGAATGCTCACAATGAACATTTAACAAAAGGCTCTCTCCTGGTAGGAGCTAGCTCCAGCATACCACTGCTTGTGTTCTTAGGATCCCTTGCCCCAAGTGACAGAATTCCTAATTACAGCCTGGTTTCATCTGGCAATGAATCATGGACTTCATGTCTTACTAGTAACTGAGTCTTCTCTACCTGATTGGACCTGCAGGTTCCCTGAGAAGGGCTAGATCTTATCCTTCTTTGTATGTCCCATTCTTCATAGTTGCATCTTCATAGATTTTCAGAGTCTCAGGGCTGGAGGCAGGGGTATGCTGGAGCCAACTCATTCCAGCTCTCTGGATGGTTAAATTTTCAGTATGAGCATTTAACAGCTCAGAAATCAACAAATGCTACAAATCAGGCTTGCTTTATTGTTTGGTTGATTGTCTAGATTTAAGAAGCAACAGAGAAAATGTTAATAATTCAAATTAAACATAGAAATGTGTCATTTTTTAATTTTGTTGGTTTTGGAGAATGATTTTGGAGAGCTAATTGTTAAATGTTTACCTTCATATCCCTGGCCAGAGGAAACCTTAGAGCTTATTTAATCTAAACTTTTAGTATTATAGGTGAGGCAACAGAGGTTCGGATGTTTCGATTTGCATACATCAAAGCACTAGAGATCGGCACCACCGAGATCCAAACTCGGGTGTTCTGACTCCAAATCCAGTGATTTTTCTACTACTTTTTGATTAACAAATGGATCCATTAGCAAACTCATTCATTGCTTCATCGACGAACAGACTGATGGATCGATTGATTGATCTTCAAAAACAATAGGATCCTGCCTAGGTGTTTTGGTATTTCAGCTCCAGATCACGAACTTGTCAGACAGAGAGCCATCTGTCTTCTTCAGAACCAGTAGGACTTTTCCCATTTGGGAGAAATAACTGTTCCAATCTTCTTGTGAAATCCTGCTGCTTGGATGGGGGTGAGCCCTTCAATGACTGAACCTTCAGGTTTCTGTTGGAGACGATCACTGATTATTAGAAATAATTATTATTAGAAATAATGAAGCCTGCCCGGGCAGATGTCCACTCTACTCTGCTAAGTTTGGCAGCATACAAATTGACGGATTTGGGATGAAAGCTGACAGAATGGACAGTGAGAGACAGGAGGAGGGAACGCTTTGATTTTGACTGCTAATATTTTGGGTGCTTTCCAGCTGCAAAGCAGTGTCCCACTATATCTCAGCTCTCTCCTATCATCACCATTTGAGGAAGGAGGAGCCAGTCCGGGCAGCCCTCCTCATGAGAGAATAGTGGTGTCGGCTAGAAAGGATCTCAGAGGACATCGAACTCAAGCCCCTCATTTCACTGATGAGGAAATCCAGTCCTTGTTGTCCCTTCCCTAAACCACATTCCCAGGCTACTTTACTTACACACACACACACACACACACACACACACACACACACACACTCGCTCTTTAGGGAATAATGGGAGGGGGTGAGAGGATGAGGGAATCTGTGACAGTGACAGCTTTCTTTGATTCCCTCCCACCTCTTGCTTTCAGACATCTCTTCTATCCTCTGCTGGAACTCCTCCCATCAGATCCAGGCCCTTAGCTCCAGTTCCATTCCTCTAGAGCCATATTCTATATGGCTATTAACTGGTGCTTATTGAAGTGTTACCAAAGAACAGCTTCAAGTGTTACCCCTTTGCCGGACTGTTTGGGTACTTCAGAATTGTAAGACATAAAGAAAAGGGAGGTAATGGGAGAGAGGAGGAGAAAGTGAGAGACAGGGATGGGGGAAGGTTGGGGAGAAAGGGATACAGAGGGACCATAAGGGAGGGGAGGGGAGAGAGAGACAGAGACAGAGAGAAAGAAAGACAGAGAAAGATACAGAGAGAGAGGGAGGGAGGGAAAGAGAGAAAGAGACAGAAAGAGTAAAAGTGGGCAGATTAGATTAGGAGACTCTTCTGAAAGTTCAGGTTGGGGTGTAGTCATCAGGGCCTGTGCAGGATAGTGGCTAAAATAGGAAGGAGGAGACAGAAATAAAAATTCTTTATGACCCAAACGAATGAAACTCTAAAAGCGGACTTGTAGGAGTTGGGTGTGATACACCTGGTGCTTTGTGAGATCTTGAAAAGGCCCCCTGAATAAAGAATCTCTCTTAGTAGCCTAGAACACTACTGAAATTCTGTTCCAAATGCAAAAGCACTTTGGCAAGATCCTTTGAGTTAAGGCATTATCTCTTGAATACTACTGTTAAAAAATCCATATATCTCTGGATGGTATAATTAGTTAACATGTCACAGTAGATTAGCACCTTCCTGAGGGGGTTGGGACACAAGTAGTAACATTTTGATGGAACAGGCAAAGATAAGGAGCATGGTATGGTGGGGTAAAAGGAGACTGGGGAGATGTCTAGGGAGAGGGGAGGGACGATGAAGGCACTAGGGATCTAAGGTAAAAAAGTCAACAAAAGCAGACAAAGAGTGAAAGGTAATTACATCATATTTCTTAGACTCCTAAATTGGGAGCAGATATCAAAACCGCCAATGGACCACGAAGGCTGAGCATGCATAAACTGAGTTTAGTGTTTCAATCAAACAAAACGGATAAAGTCAATCTGGTGCAAATTTATAGATCTTCACATGGTGACTGTATCGCACCATAGTGATCCGTAGGTAAGTAGATCATATAAATGCCTGGAATGTGCAGTACTTTCATAAGCCAAATGAAGCATTTTTGTGATCAGCTATGAGAACCTCAGCAACTGCTTAAAATCCCCTGTGAAAACTGCTCAGATCCATAACCCCGGGGGAGTCAAAGGGCTAAGCTGCCTCCTTTATGCCATCTCTCCCCTCCATATCAATAACACAATACTCCTGGTTCTCCTGTTGCCTCTCAGGTTGCAACTTCTTTTCTCTTTTGTTGTCTCTTCCTTATCTGAGAAATGTGAGCATTGGACCAAGTGACCACCACGGCCCTTTCCGGCCCTACAGCTTTGATTGTATGACCTTCTTGTTCTGTTCCCTTAAGCTGAATATCTCCAGTATCCTCTTCTCTTCTCCCTCTGAACTTGCTTCCTTAGCAATCTCAGTTACCTCTATCTTCCCATTGTACAGATGCATCTCAAATTTCTACACCCAGGTCCAAGCTCCAGGCCCTCATTTCCA